TAGGAGGGAGGGAATCACTTAGTAGGATAAGGACTGTGAAAGCTTTCCTATGCAATCTCCCAGTAAGGAGCATAGGTAGCAGCTTAACTGTAGTATGGCAAGTCTTTACATCTTGTCTGTGGTAGAACAGGAATTCACATCACTTCTACTTAAACTGGTATGGAGGGAGTAACTGGAAGCAGATTGAGTGAGAAAGAGCATGTGGCCTGTGATCCAAAGTCAGTTCTGGTTCCAGAGATTCAGTAGCCATAAGACCTACAAAGGTGGTGGTCTGCAATTGTGAAATGGTAGCCAGGGAGTCCTGCAGGGCTGTCCCACAATCTATTGACGGGTTAGGTGTGTGTTTCTTCTTGACCCAATGCCTGCATAATTACTTTGTGTAAAGAGCACTTAGACTTTGTGCATGGGTTTGAATTTATCCTTATAAGGGGTTTTGGTGTAGTAGCAGAAGTAGTAACATGTTTTGCTGTGGCTCCTGCGATGTAAGCTCAAGCCTTCCTCTTGAGGTGTGCTAAAAGCCAGCTGTAGGTATCTTATTTGGGATGTGAAGTCAAAGGCAGCTGGACCTGATGCCAGCAATACAGCTCCTTTGTATGCTGTTGACTATACAAATGGTTGTGCCTTAAATAATCCCTGAGCTGCTAGGCTTAGGGATCTGACAGCTAGTAGATTTGATAGCTTTATTTTGTCTGATGCCATTAAAGGGATTCAAGATATCCTAGGAGATGTCAGAGCTGTCCAACTTCTGAGGTGTTTGTCGGGTTTTGTAAATGTGCATCTTGTGCAAGGGGCTTTATTAGAAACTGAATTACACTGAATTCAGGGCTTGTCTACACTAAAAGTACACTTACGTCAACAACCTAGATAAAACAGAGTTCTCTAAACCAGTTACAGACGTCATTTGCAGTATTGACTGGATCTTAACTGTATCTCCTAACTAGCACAGTTCTTTGACATGGCTTTCTTGTAGTGTAGAAAGAGTCAAAGACTAAAATATGTACTCTTTTTTTTGCCTGTGATCCTAGATACAAAGTTTATAAAACTGACAGCCTATTTTAATGCAGTTAAAATCTGGCATATCCATGGATTTGTCAGCTTTATTAACACTTAAGATGTGTATGCTTTTGCTTTCAGCCCTGAGAGTTCAGTAACTTTTAAGCAGCTGATAATGCAGGGCTTTCAAATTACCATCCTGAGGCAAGCTTTTCCTTCTTAGATTACACATAGGAGAGACCTTATTACTTTGACTATTGGGAATGGGAAACCTTGGGGATAGGAAAGATTCCAAGATTATTTTACTGATTGCACGTCTAATGTTCACATGAGCTTGGCCATGGGTCTGGGAGTCAGCTACCTTAAAAAATTAAATAAAATAAAGCTGGACAATTACCAGTGATACATGGCGTATAATGGTAGCTCTCACATATGGTCTTTCAGCAAGGACCATGGACTGAGTGTGTTTGGTTCAAAATACCTTCACTATGATTTTGACAGAGTGAAATGTATATTAGTGGATATTTTAATGTCATATTTAATTTTTTGTTGGTGATTAGGACACTGTATGGACTTACTACATCTTGCTGAATTTACCACATGCTACCTCTCACCTAGTGTTTCCCTTGCGCTGCTGGAATTTGTGCAACATTGTAGCCCAATAAGCAAAATACTAACATGCAATGTATTTTTTTAAATTTACCTTTTTTCCACAGAAAATCCTAAAGATGAAGCTTCCTCTGTTCTGTCCTTTGAGAGTGCTGTGGCATCACAGAAAGAAAGAGACTATTTTACTTATATATCTTTTTGTTGGTTTTATATCACTAGTTAGCATCACAATATCCAGGCTCTTTTCACATAAAATTGATTAGTAATAATATAGTGAATTTCATGAAGGTCTAGTCCTTCTCACTTTTTCCCTAGTATGCTATCTACTGTTCACAATAAATGATCACTTGTTGGTGCACAGCACTACTCGACACCTGGATGAAAATTCCACACTGATGGAACTTAAATCAAGGAAAATAATTCCAGTTTCCCATGGACTTTAATAGGCAGGGTTTAGTTGCGGGGAGGGGGCGTTAAGTTGGAATCATATCCTGAAGAGATACAGGATCCAGCTGGCTCTCTTTGGACTTTTATAAAATCCATGAAGTGCTCTGAGGCCTGCTTTTAACATTATTATCTTATTATGCTGATTGCAGAGCTAAAATATGCTAAGCATTTTGCAAGCATGGAAGAAAACACAATTCCTTTCATGAAGAGTTTGTCTAAAAAGACAAAGACAGACAAAGGATAGGGAACCAAGGATGCAACACGTAACCGAAGAGGTCAGTGTGGTGATAGCCACACAGTAGTATGAATGTTTACAATTTTAAAAAATGAATTATTAAACAACAGTATTTTACTTTGATGGCCATCTCTCCACAGATCAGCCCTCTCATCTTTCTCCTGCATTTTCTACTTAATTGTGTTTTAGAAATATTGTATAGGAGAAGCAGTGGATTTGGACATGATCCTGGGAGAGAGAAAAGTTGAAGATGACCATTGGCTTACTAGTTGCAGTGATGGTGTTTTGTTTTGTAGTGGCACACTGTATGCATTTATTTACCTGCTGTTTACCACTGATTTTATATGCCTTTGTTTTGGGTGTCTTGAGTTAGATCCCCAAAATTATGGACCATTTTCCAAGTGTTGGGCACTGCTTCCTCTTTATTTTCTGTGGGTCCATTTCATAGTCCTCTGATAGGAGAGATTCCTCTTTTTTCCAAATGAAAATGCGATTGGAAACCATAAAAATTGTTAAAAACAGGTGCAGTACTTTTAGTGAATTTCGACAAAAATAAAAGTAGCTTTAATGTCCAGCAGATGGTGTTGTTTTGATGAAAATACCAAAATGGATTTTGGCAGACTAGAATGCCTCACAACTTGGCTTTAGAATGATTTCAGTATCTCTGATTCTGAAACCCTAATATTTTCTGGATGACTGTGACCATTATTACCTCCTATTATAATAATCACTGGTATTGCAGATGTCTGGATGCAGATATTAATAATAAAACAGCAATTGTTCTCATTGCTATATAAGAGATGCTTCCTCACGTATGAGTTAAGTCAGCTTTAATTAAGCTGACTTAACATTGCAGTAAAGTCAGCTTAATTAAATAGAAATAACATTTTAGGACTCTTATTGATTCAATTGTCTTAATTCCAGTTAATTCATTCTTTTGTCTTAAAAGTCACTTGCCAGGTTGGTCTGAAGACTTCTATTTCAACACTTTCAAAATCCATCTATCCAAAAAAAACCAAGCCATGTGCCTGCTGGTTTGTAAACTTTGCACAAAACTAAATGGTTTTACTTCTTTGGGTATTACATTCGATACATGTCAGTGCACTTACATACCAGAGTTAAACCCAGTGCCACCCAGTGTGAGTAAGCTTATATGTATGGGTGAATATCAATGAGTTTAATGGGATTGCTCACACATGCTAAGTTACCTGTGCGCATCACTGATTGAAATGCTGGAGCCTTAGGCAACAAAAACATACCTCAGAAATTCAGCTGTAAAGGTTTAGTACTAGCAGTGTCACTTGATGATGGAGGGCCACAGTTGGATGGGGACATTATGTACCACCTGTGGTGGAAGTGGCACAACTCTTCTGTGCAAGCCTGCCAGGACCCTGGGAGGTTTACTGCCTGGGGGCATTGAGGCTGCTCCATAGTCACTTAGACACTGTAGATGCAAGGAAGAATTTTCCCTGGAGAGTCCCACCATTGTTGTTATCGTTATTATCTCTCTTAGATGTATATATATATATGTATGAGTATGTGTGTGTATATATAAATGTGAGTATGTACAGGTATGTGTGTAGGTGTTTGTAGGTGTATATGTGTAGGTGTGTGTGTGTATGTGTGTGTATATGTATATAGTGTGTGTGTATATGTATATATAGTGTGTATATATAGTGTGTGTATTGTGTGTGTGTATATACACACACACTATATATATAGTGTGTGTGTTGTGTGTATATATAGTGTGTGTGTTGTGTGTGTATATATAGTGTGTATGTACGCATGTGCATGTGTGTGATATGTGTGTATATATGTGTGTGTATAGTGTGTGTGTGTATAGTGTATATGTACATGTGAATGTGTGTATATGTGTATAGTGTGTGTATGTATATATAATGTGTGTATGTCTATATATATATAGTGTATGTGTGTGTATATATAGATATAATATATATAGTGTGTGTAGTGTATGTATGTGTGTGTATATACTGTGCGCGTGTGTATATAGTAGTGTGTGTGTATGTATATCGTGTGTATATATATATATAGTGCATGTATGTGTGTATGGTGTCTATATATATAGTGTGTGGGTATGTGTGTGTGTGTGCGTGTGTTTATATATATAGTGTGTGTGTATAATGTATAGATGTGTATATATGTACTGTATACGTGTGTTTGTGCATATATGTGTCTAGATGTGTGTACCTATACAGTATTCTGTAGACACGGGGGTCGGCGACCCGCACGTGTATCTCAAGCCTACAGAACGGGCCGGCTCTTGCTCGTCACATGTGTCTGACTCCAGCCCAGGCAGGGGTCAGGCCCGCGGCGCCAAAGCCCGCAGCGACCCCCGGGCCTGGGCAGCCGGAGCCCCGCCCCGCCCCG